CAGTGCTTTGTAGTTGATGCTCTGGATTATGTGAGTTTCAGTATTTTATAGTTTGATACTGTGGATTATGTGAGTTTCAGTAATTTGCAGTTTGACGCTGTGGATTATGAGAGTTTCAGTACTTTGTCACTGTGGATTATATGAGTTTCAGTACTTTGTAGTTTGATATTGTGGATTATGCGAGTTTCAGTACTTTGTAGGTTGATGCTGTGGATTATGTGAGTTTCAGTACTTTGTAGTTTGACGCTGTGGATTATGTGAGTTTCAGTACATTGTAGTTTGATGCTGTGGATTTGGTGAGTTTCAGAACTTTGTAGTTTGACACTGTGGATTATGTTACTTTCAGTACTTTGTAATTTGATATTATGGATTATGCGAGTTTCAGTACTTTGTAGTGTAGTGAACTAAGCCTCAGGTCAAAACCTGACCCTGAGGACCTTCATGGGACAGAAACTGTTATTTCATTGATTTGAGTCCAGAAATACAATTTAAGCTCATCCAGAGACTTTCTAAGTGTGTCCTGCACTAATCAATTGAAAGAACACTCTCTTTTTTATTGTCATTACTATTTTTACAAATGTCTTGATAATCCAAAAGTGTGTTTAGTTCAAATCATTTTAAATGTTGAAGTGAACTACTCATTTTACATCAACTGTGAAACAGTATTAATGATTTTTTAATCCTCATTCAAAGTAGAAATCAAGTTAATGTCTGTTACAGAGTAATCATGCATTTTTTGATCTTCTGTCTGAAATGAGAAGGAGTGATGTCGGTCAAAAGTCAGAAAGAAGTTATTAGAACGAACTGTCATGTTTTTAAACCTATCAGACAGAAATGAGAAGAAGCTAGCACCTGTGGTCTGTCATCTCGCCTAAACATTTCTCTGTCTGTTCCAAAAACATCTCACTGTTTTTCTGACTTGTAGTAACCTCTTACGTCACTAAAACCACACCCCTGTTGGTTCTTTCAACCAATCAGGATTTCCCAAAAAGGGACCGGAAGCGAACTCTTTAAAAAGTCGACACTTCCTAGTTCCAGTCAGTTCAAAGTTCGGGGGAAGAACAGAAGTTCTGGAGTTCAAAGTTCTGAGAGCAGAACCGAACGAAAGTTCTGAAGGGCTGGAGTTAGTTGGGAGTTCTTCCGAGTCTCGTGGGGATTATGGAATCTTCCACATCTGAGTGGAACTCTGACGGGCTC